CCCTCCCCAAGCCTGCATGCAGCAATCAATTTCCAGCATTTGCTTCTGAGATACCACTAAAGAGCAAACGTCAAGGTTAAGTCAGGCAGCCTTAAGGTTGCAGACTTTGCAAATTTAGGTGAAGGCCATGTTGGATCCCTTTAAACCGGATGCTTTATCTCAAGATCACTGTTAGTTATAGTACCAAAATAAAGGGATCCATGGCTCGGAATACAATACAAACAACACGGTGAATCTGAAATCTCAGATGAAATATGGTCAGCGGAGTTAAAAATGGTAGTGCTACCTGGAATTTTAGGCTTCATTATTAGCTTTTTAATAAAGGTGATATTAGCATTTTAGCATGGCATCCATGCTTCCTTTTGAAATTCAGGAAATCATGTTTTCTTTTTAATCAAAGCCATTTCTTCTTTTGATATGCCAGAACTAGCCTTTCCAGCAACTTAACAACGGGGAGCATGTTCTGGAAGTCCTTGAATACACTTGCAAGTATTAAGAAAGATACAAACTCATGGAATGTTATTTAGGACCGACGTTTTCTATTGTTTAGTTCTCACATCTGATGTCTCTTATTATTTGATTTGTTGCTTTCTGACACATCACATATACCAAATTTATGTATCATTTGTTTCTGTACCCTATATAAAGACTGGAGCCCCCCTTAATAAATGCTTTTCTCTTTGCCTGAAGTACTTGTGGTTTATCCTGTCAGGAGGGGTGAAAAAGCCACTTTGCAAAGTTAGTTTCTCTCTCAAATTCAGGGAAATAGGTTCCATTAGCTCCACACCAAACTTGGGGTGCCTGAGTCTCTAGGCAACAGTGACAAGTGTATTTTCATCACTTAAATGTTTCTTTCTCAGTGTGTCATGTGAACATAGTAATGTCTGGTACTTTTATCTTTTTGTGAGGCTGTGGCTAGCCATCCTTCTGATAACAGGAAAGCACATGAAAATATTTACTTTTGTTTTTTCTGTTATTTTCTCTAAGGCATATTTTGATTTCCCTTTTTAAAATAAGCATTTCAGAATCACAATAAATTATACAGTAAACTGTAAAACCATACTGTGATTTACCACAGTAAAACTATTTTGTTTTGCCTTAAAATATTATTCATGCCCAGTTGTTGCCATTTATAAATCATTGTTCATGTTTAACAGGCAAATCTTAGAGGCAGGGCTAAATCCAGTTTCCACTTCTCTGTGACCAAAGGAAACTTCCCAGAAATCAGTTTCCTATCATTTTAAGGTGAGACACACAAAAACTATATTATAGGATGTAAACTAGGGAGGGTTCTGCTGCTGTGCCATTGGGACAGATTTGCACATTTTGCAAATGAAGTGGCTCAGATTCATCAAATCATGATTCTTTAAAGGCAGGAACTGAAGTGGTGAGTGGGGGATTATCTTGTACTCTGGTCTGGTATTTGTCCAGATCTGTGGACTGTGATGGTTGAGTTCTGATATGAACTTTATCCATTTCTTGAATCCATGTCCTTCTTGGCTCCTTTAGATGGTCAAGAAAAGGTCAGTAGCTGGATCTGAAAAGCTGTCCATACCTCTTTAGCATGCTTGAAAGAGGCAGTGGCCTCTTTCATGAAGAGGTCCTCCCAGAGACTGTTTTGGACAACCATCACTCTTTCTCCAATCTTTGTTTTTTAGAAAAGGTTGTAGAAAAGGTGATGGGAATTTAATTAGCCACATAACCTTAACCCTAAACAGTTTATGTAGATTCCTTTCAGTCAGAGTTCAGGCATAGGCATGGGATGGAAATGTCATTGGTTCAGACCTAGGTGGGTAAAGCATGCTCTTTCAGATTCTAGTTGAACTCTCAGTGGTATTTAGTAACCACTGACCATGATATTCTGGACTGCCTGCAAAGGTTAGGGGTTGGGGACACTGTTCTGCAAAAGTTTCAGTTCTTTCTAAGGAGGAAGCACTGGTCAGTAATGGCAGGCAGAGAGAGGTTGGCCTGGCTGGGATTCATACAGTGGGGCAAAAAAGTATTTAGTCAGCCACCAATTGTGCAAGTTCTCCCACTTAAAAAGATGAGAGAGGC